ATTACCTTGTGGGTGTTACCCCAGGAGCAAACATTTGCAATCCAAGTATAGAGCTGATACTTATCGCTTCACATACAAAAATGAAACATGCACACAGATAGCATAAGCATAACCAGCAAATCATAACCTTTTCATAGACACCTCATTTGACAACCTTTGTACAAGATTTGCTGCAAATATATAACAGTGGTTGCAAAAATGCTCTATATGGTCATATTGTAGTCAGGTAACCACAACTCCATACTTCCGCACAAAGATGCGGAACTTACATTTCACACTAATGCTGCGCTGTAGTTAAGATCTCCACCTGGGAGCTCGCACACCTCCTGTATGAAACTCGGGGGGGTGGGGTGTCACACCCCCTCTTGCTTCCCCTAATTGGCACCCCTGCATCATCCCCAACTCAAGAGGGGAGGGCATGCAAAGGTCAGGTTCACTGGCCTGGACACCAGTTCCTCACATGGGGGTGAAATACAGACAGGCATCATGGGCACAAGCTGGGGCAGTGGACTTGGCGGCTCTGGCCTGTGCATTTCCCCGTCTCTGTCTCTTTGCAGTGAGATTGGTGGTCCCCTAAACCACAGACCAGAGGCTCAGAGACCAGGGTGGCTGTGTGGCCTGCATATGGGACACACTAAGTCTAGAGCTCTACCGGTCTCTGGGAACATTCCACCCCATTGTCCCAGAAACACAGAGTGACCTAGATTCCAATTGCACCTGGAAGGTTTCTTCTCAACTCCCTCCTGGGGGCTCCCCTTCCCAGATCCCGCCTTCCCCTGTTTCCACAGGCAGTTGTGTTTGCCTAGCCTGATTTCTTCCTGTTCTCCAAGGTTCTGACAGGGCCAAGCTCCCGTCAGCCCCTGCTGATGATCCGACTCTCTACCCCTCCACTATTATAGGACAGAGATCCCCAAACAGTGGGGTGCACCCCCCTAGGGGCACATGGAGGAATGTTTGGGGGAGCAGAGCTGGGGCCCGGGCCAGCTGCCACAGGGGATGGGGAGGGAGCGCCACCCAGCTCCGCTCCTGGCCCCAGCTGTGGCCCCAGCCTCGTCCCCTTTACCCTGTCCTCCCTGCAGCAAGAGCTGCAGCCCTTCTCCCAGCCCCAGCTCCAGTGAGGGGGGGGGGGTGCAGACAGGAGTAAGGGGGGGCCATGAGGTAAAAAGTTTGGGGACCACTGTCATAGTAGATAGAAACCATCAAGTTGGATATTCGCACCAAGAAAAAATAACTGGGTTTCTTTAGTCTCCAATTTTCGTGCTCTGTATGGTTCTGCCTAGAGCTGGTCCAAAAAAAAATCATTAGTTTATGCTGAAATTTTGAAGTTTTGGATTTCCCCCCATCCCTTTCCTGGCCCCCCTTCCCTTTGAATAAAATAGACAATGATATCTGGGGGTTGATTTTTTTCTCTCTCACTTTCCAGCTTTCACTCTAACTTCTCTGAAACTAAGGAAGTTTTGAAAAGTTAGAGACGCAAAAAGAAGAGAGAGAAAAAGAAAATCCAACTCAGTAACTCTGCCAGCTTCATATTGGCAAGGCAGAGCCCTAGTCCATGAGCTGCCCTGTATCTCATGGGTACAGTCTGAGCTGGGAATCGTCGCCATGGACCCAGAAGAATGGGAAGATTCTCTCCCCAGCAAAAGAGGCCAGCGGGAAAGTGAAGATTGAGGCCCAGCTATTGGCATCAAAAAATGCCACCTGGCCCCCTTCATAATCCAGAGAAACCCGGATCCTCTTGGGACTCCAGCTCAGGGTCAGAGGGCAGGTGAAAGCGAAGTCCTGATTCGTGTGAAGGGACAGAGCCCAGATCCCCTCCTCAGGGTCACATCTGATCCATTCTTCTCTTCTCACAGACTCTCTGGCCACCCCCACAGCCCACCAGTCGCCCCCATCCCCCACCTCCACCTCCCAGTAATGTCTCCCCGAGATGAATCCTTCACAGCCCAGCACACAGGGAGCCAAATTAAATCGCTTGGGATTGTGGGGCAGAACGTGCCAGCCACCCCAGCTCACGGTTTTCCCATCCTCAGAAAGGGTGAGCAGCTCATGAGCCGTGTCTGGATCCAGAGTCACATTTGCTGGGAGGGGAGAGAGAGAAAACAGCAGTGTCAGAGGCAGAGCTTGGCCCTGGCGGGGGCTGGGCTCATTTCTCACACACCCCCAGCAGCCCCGCCCTGGTGGGGACCCTCCCAGATTTTCTGCCTCTTTATCCTGGGTCCCAGAGAACTCTCTCTCTCTCTGCTAGGGCTGAGCCAGGATTTCACTGCAGCGGCCTCTTCCAGGCACTAGGGGGTGCTGTTGCAAGAAGAGACAGGAGCGCCAGAAGCTCCCTAAAAGTGTGGGGGGGGGGCCACTGGTACCTGAATCATGGGCTCCACCCCCTTTCCCTAATGCCCCGCTCCTTCCCCAGGCCCCACCCACCCCTTCTCCCCAAGCCCCCGCCTTTGCAATGCCCCTTCTCCCCGAGGCCCTGCTCCCGCACCGCCACTTCCCCTGAGGCCCCACCCTTGCACCATCTCTTTCTCCGAGGCCCCACCCCCACCCACCCCTTCTCCCCAAGCCCCCACCATCGCACCGCCTCTTCCCCTGAGTAGTTGCCCCATGCTCACTCCTCTACGCCCCCACCATCGCTCGCCCTTACGCCCAGTTAAAAGTGATGGGGCCACAGCTCACTGGTCCCTCCCTGTTCCGCCCCCCCTGGGGAGAGGGCTGGAGAGAAAATAGGGCCATGGCATGGAGAACCTAGCAGAAGTTCTACCCCCGGAGATTGCAAAGTGGTCGGAGCACTGACTCTCAGTCAGTTAATATGGGGGTTACACAGGGCGCTAGCCCTCACAGGTTGCTGCAGCACTAGGAAGACTGCGAGCATCATTGAAGTCTTTTCACCCGTTTCTGTGGGGGATTACTGGCGCGTGGGTGGCCACAGGTGGGCTCATGGGTACAAGTGTACACTGCCCCTACAACATAAATTGAACTCTGCCTTTTTGAGTGATAAAGAAGTACTAATGCTTTTGTAATGCGAGATCTTCTGAAAGATTTTTAAACTGGTCCTTGGTATCACTGAGTAGCTGACTTAAGGGAGAGGTCAGTGGCTCTGTTGACAGGAGCTCTCCAGCCGACATAGCGCTGTCGCTTAGGTCGGTATAAATATGTTGTTCAGGGGTGTGGATTATTCACACCCCTGAGTGCCGTAGTTATACCGAAGTAATTGTGTAATGTAGACCTGGGCTCAGACACTTAGGTTTTTTCCCTACCTCTGCACCAAAAAAAGTTATAAAAATCTGACAACAATGAAAGGAACTCATTTTTTAGTACGGCTACGTCTTGAGGAAACATTGAACAAATGACTCCAATTTGCTTCTCAACCTTAGTGCAGATTAGGGTGACCAGATGGGATGAAGAAAATATCGGAACACATGGGGGGTGGGGGAAGGGGGTCCTGCCAGAGGAGGAAAAAAAAAAAGCAGAGTCCCGCCAGTGGAACAAAACAAAACAAAACCAGGAGTGCGAAATATCGGGACAAACGCCTAAAAATCGGGACGTCTGGTCACCCTTGTGCAGATTCTGTTGCGGCGATCATTAAAACAATTTCCTTACGCACATGGATTTTAGTTCTCTTTGAAAGTTATTAGCAGCTGATAGCTCCATATATCATAAGGCCAGGAGGGACCAGAGGTGAAAGTAAGCTGGTACGGTCCAATACGGCGCACCAGCAAGAGCCAGTACGCCGTGTTGGATCGCGCTGGCTTCCGCGGCCGGGATTAAAAGGGCTCTGGGCTTCCCGCAGCGGGGGCAGCCGGGATGGAGCTGGGATTTAAAGGGCTCGGGGCTCCCCGCAGCCACGGGAGCTCCGGGCCCTTTAAATCCCGGCCCGAGCCCTTTAAATCCCAGCTGGAGTGCAGTGGGGATTTAAAGGGCCCAGAGCTCTGCAGCGGCCGGAGCCCCGGGCCCTTTAATTTGCCCGTGAGCCCCAGGGGCTCCCAGCCACCTCTGCAGCTGGGAGCCCCGGGTTGATTTAAAGGCCCTGGGGCTCCCAGCCACAGCCGATCCCCCAGGGCCTTTAAATCTTGAGAGGCCCCACCTCTTCTGGTTGAGGCCACGCCTTTTCCGGATGAGGCCACACACCCCTCAGGACTCCGGCAGTACCAGTAAGTCCTGTACGTTACTTTCACCCCTGGGAGGGACCATAGTGATCACCTAGTCTGACCTCCTGCATTACCTAGAACTTAAACAAAAGAATTCCTGTTTGAAGTAGAGCAGATCTTTTTAAAAAAACATCCAATCATGAGTTCAAAATTGCTAGGGATGGAGAATCCACCACAACCCTGGGTAAATTGTTTAAATGGTCAGAGGCAGATTATGATTTCGTGGGGCCCTGGGCCAGAGCAAGTGGGGCCCCTCCCCACCCCTTCCGTCTGCAGTCCCTCCCCTGCCCCTCTCCCTCAATTGGCCAGGACCCTTGGGCACGGGCCCTGTTGGCCCAGTGGCTAATCCGCCACTGCCAATGGTTAATTAGACTCACTGTTAGATATGTACACCTTATCTCCAGTCTGAATTTGTCTAGCTTCAATTTCCAATCATTGGACCTTGTTATACCTTTGTAGCTATATCTCTCAAACCCCTTGACCAAATTACCCCAGATTTGGGCCAATTTTTCTAAGTGCTCTGAAGTTCATATGCAGTCTCATATTGTCTTGAAAATTGCTGAGTTGAGGTCTGGGGTTAGGTTAGTGGCCTAAATTTGGGGGTGTTCTAGCAAGGAACTCCAACAAGGATTTTGATGCTGTTCAAATTAATACTGCCATGCGCTACCAGAGATAAATCTGCAGTGAGCATTATTAATTTGGGCCGCATCAGAGCCATAGCTAAGAACATAAGAACACAAGAACAGCCACACTGGATCAGACCAATGGTCCATCTAGCCCAGTATCCTTTCTTCCGACAGTGGCCAATGCCAGGTGCTTCAGAGGGAACGAACAGAATAGGTAATCATCAAGTGATCCATCCCCTGTTGCCCATTCCCAGCTTCTGGCAAACAGAGGCTAGAGACACCATCCCTGCCCATCCTGGCTAATAACCATTGATGGACCTGTCCTCCATGAACTTATCTAGTTCTTTTTTGAACCCTGTTATAGTCTTGGTCTTCACAACATCCTCTGGCAAGAAGTTCCACAGGTTGACGGTTCGTTGTGTGAAGAAATACTTCCTTTTATTTGTTTGTTTTAGTTTAGCTCCAGGTGTGCAGACTAAGGTTATAAAAACTAGAATGATGTGACGTGATATTTGAGGAAGTCTGTATCTGCAGAACCCCTTGTTACAGTGAGTTATCACAGGAATTCTAGAGCACTTAGAGAAAGGCTGTTAAACTTGTATCAACCTTAATTAACTAGAGCAGAGCAAAGCTACCTCTCTGCTACAATTTCCAGCTATCTTTACCCAGAGACTTACCCCATTCTCTTTCCAGTTCAGATGACAGAGTGTCTACAGAGAGGAGAACAGAAGTGAGATTTCTGCTGTTCATAAGCTTAACAATGCTTTAACGTTCTGACGAAAGTCAGAGGGAAATCAACAGGCATACACGGGCTCGGTCTATTCTAAAAAACGTAGGTCGATCCAGCTACGTCGCTCAGGGGTGTGAAAGATCCACACCCGTGACAGACATAGTTAAGGCAACCTAACTCCCAGTGTGGGCAACACTAGGTTGAAGGAAAAATTCTTCTGTCAACCTAGCTACCACCTTTCGGGGAGATGGATTACCAACGTCAAAGGGAGAAGCCCTCACGTCAGCGTAGGTAGTGTCCACAGCTGCGCCACTGAAGCATTTCAAGCACAGACAAGCCCTGAGACAGGAAGAGACCAATGAAGGAGACCAAAAATTTCAAGTAAACCAGATTAAATTGAAAAGAAATCAGCTATATAAAATTATATATAAACACCGTTCTGGACTCCAGTCCTACTTTCCACCAAGGAGTTCAGAACACATCATTAGATTATGCCTGAGACACCCTAGGGAGTCTAATCATTATTATCACCCCCACTTTAAAGGAGGGAAAACTAGAGTAGAGAGATATTTTGTGACCTCTCTGAGGTCACATAAGCAATCAGTGGCTGGAATTGGACCCAGATATCCTGACTCTCAGCCCTGGGCGCCATCTGCTGGATTTGTTTAGTTTCTCTCTCGTATTTAATAGTTGATTACGCTCTTGTCTATTTACCCATACGCAGGACCACACCCAGTTTGGGGCTGTCAGACAGGAGGACGTGACACTGCTCCTTTGACCCGGATCTTGCATTTCTTATTATTTTGGACAAACAGGTTAATTAAAAAAAATAGCTTCCTCGTCAATTTTGTTTGTGTTGTGGAATTCCCCGGCACCTTCCCTTGGTTTAGAAACGGTAACAGAATGCTGTATTGCCATTTAACTGGGGCTTGCATTAATAGCTATTTTGCCAGATCCCGTCTCCTACAGACACAGATGCCCAGATGCACAAAGGGACTTTCCTGTTTCCCCCCACCTCCTTGGGGGGTTAGGAACCTAAGTACCTTTGTGGATCTGGATCACAGACCCCTTTCTCAGTTTGACCTCCCAGATCCCTCTTTAGTACCTTTGAATTTCTGGAGAGTCTTCTTTAGAATGGTATATTTCTTCATGAAAATATGGATTCCCTCTTCCAGCCCAGAAGAAATCTCCCCTGGCTGCTGGGACTTCCACTTCTCCCACCTAGAAAGAAGAAAATTATAGTTATTTTAATGTATTGCTAATGGTTTGTATTGTCATCCACTTTTATGTGAATTTCATTCTTGCGAAAGATGTCAGAGTACGCGCCCAGGAGAATGAATGGCTCCTTTGAACTGGGAAAGGAAAGGCATCTCTGTGGATAAGATGGGACTTCTGCTTCCATGCCCTGTTCACTCTTTGGTCTCTATACCATGGATGTCAATGAGCAAGACAAGAAGAGCCAATGGACCTCCTAGCCTTTGGTATGGCAGCACTTGTCCAACTGGACTCAGATGGCTCCCCTCCAGCTCATTTCACACAGGTTACCAGAGACTCACTGGGTTGGAAGTAGCCTTGGAAGGATTAAATTTCAATTGGGACATGTCCATTTTGCCATACACACAAAAACCAATGGAAAAAATATTTCCATCGATAATAATCAAAATGTACAGAGAGGCTGAGTAAGAAAACGCTGCGTGAGCACTTCTTTGAGTTTGATTTAAGGAAATTTAATCTGTATATTTTGACACGTGAGGTTGACAATGTGTGTGTTAATGATTATATGGCTTTAGCTTTTTGAATGTCATTACCGACCGTCATTAAATAATTATTGTGCAACCCACCCCCTTTGTCTGACCCTCCCCCATAATGTTCCACAACTGAAAATTTAAAAGTCGATCAAAATTCTGCCTAGCCTAGTGGTAAGCTATGTAGGTACCCATAGAGCTGTCATTATCATAGTGTATGAGCACTTCGCAGTCTTTAATGCATTTATCTTCACAACACATCTGCGAGGTAAGGGAAGGATTATTATACCCGTTTTACAGATGGGGAATAGAGGCCCAGTGCCTAAGGACACACAGGGCGGCTGTAGCAATGTGATGATATTTGATTGCAAGGTGGTGCTAGTGATTTAGAGGTGAAGGGCCTATACTCCATCCCCAAAATCCTGAGGCAGCCAGCACGGGCAGCAGGTATCAAAGCCCAGGGCAGGCTAAGCCTCCCCTAAGCCAGGCTGTGGCCCCACCCATGTTCCACCCTGAGACCCCGCCTCCCTTCCCCTCTCCTCTGAAGCCAGCGGGGGCTCAGCTCCAGCCAGCAATGTGGAGCTTGGGCTGCCAGAGGCCAGGGGCTGGGTCTGCCCTGGGCGGTTCAGGCCGGCCAGGAGGTCAGGCCAGTGGCTCAGCCTGGGGATCGGACCAGCAACTTGGCCCGATCCTCAAACCAGCGACTTGGCTCAGGGGTTGGGCCAGCAGCTTGTCAGACCAGGGCTCGGATGGGCTAGAGTGGCCAGGGTGGGCCAGCCGGTGGCTTGGGGCAGGCGAGCTGGGGCTCCTCTGGTGGTGGGTGGGGCTTTGGGGCTCCTCTGGTGGTGGTGGGGGCTCGGGGTTCTGGCAGCTGGGGGGGGGTGAAGGGCATGGGTAGAAGGGGCGGGGCCAGCGGGTTAGCCTCTCTGAAGCAGAGGTTCACCTCCTGGCCATGGCAGCCAGTTCTCCAAGGAAAGAACTTATTTAGTTCAGAGACCCAAGTTAAGAATCCCAACCTAGGGATGGAGAAATCCAGTCTTATAAAAAAGCAACAGCTCCAGGAGTCAATAACAAGGATCGCGGTTTGCATCTAAAGTGCATCCCTGCCTCACACACTTGGTGGTTCTCCTTGGGGACATGGCTCAGCCTCCCAGTTGCTCCCAATGAAAATATGGCCACTTGTGTCCAATCAGCTTCCCAACATAGTGAAAAGTGGGGGGGCAGTGAAAAGGAGCAATATACCTGTTTGAGATGCTTATGAAATCCTAGAGGGGAGAGAGAAGAAGAAGCTGTTATGTTCACGGCATAAGACACAGAGAAGTTAAATAACAAGATAACTACTCTTGATGCAAGATTGCACCATAACCTGACTTCACTTCTTAGAATTCAGAACAACACCACTCAAAAACCCAAAAGCAGAGAAAGAAAACAGGCTGTTCCCTAAAGCAAAGCAGCACAACTCAACACCATCTTGCTTTAAGTTTGCTCTTTCCAGACATGCTTCACTACAGAGCTCCCCAGCCTGCAAGCAGGACCAGGAAACCTTTTACACTCTTAAAGCAATAGCTTGCCATTCCAACACAGTCCTCAATCCACCACAAGTCCCACATGCCACAAGAGGTTTCTCCCGCTCTGAACGAGACCCACTTTGCCTTCACTAAGAGTCCCATATACAGCTTCTTATAATTGGGGTCTCTGCTATCAAGCTGAGATATAAATATACACATCCACCCATTTACATCACTTACCAGTATAAGCTCAGGGATAGTCTGTGAACCTAATGCCTTAAGTCTAGATCCTTATAGGTATTTAGGCCCCATTGAAATCAATAGGACGTAGGTGCCTTACATACCTTTGGAGAATCTAGGCTTTAACCAGAATTGTGACTTCCTGGAAGTATTCCTTCAGGTTCCAAAGGACGTAGTTATGACATAAGTAAAATGTGGGGAAATCATAATAGATCTCACTGCCCCTGCTTTTCAAAGGGGCAGGCAAATGAGAGATGGGGACCTGTCTCACACCCATATCCCTTTGTGAGGTGGAGTTCTAACCCCTGAGTGATCCACTCCAGCAGCCCAGCATTTCAAGGAACGGTACATTTGTGCCTTCCCTGGATCACACAGGAGTGCAGTAGAGTGAAGAGGAGGAAACTCTCTGCACCTTCTTACCCCATGGGCGGCAAGTGACTCCTCCATTTAGGGAGGTTGGGCACGCCCAGACCATGGCCCCGCCCCAAGACCCACCCCTGCTTGAACCCCTCCCTCCGAAGCCCCGCCCATGCTCCACTCCAGCCCCACTCAGCTCCCTCCCCCGAGCCCCCCCACCTGCCCCTTCCCCCGAGGCCACCGTGCCCACTGGCCAGCCAGCTGGCCGGCTGCTCACTGAGTGCCGCTTCACCCCCTCCCACAGACCTCCCCTGCCTGCCACTCGCACCTCTTCGCCCCTTTCCCTAGGCCCCCCTTACCCGCTGGCCAGCTACTCATGGCGCCTTTTCACCCCCTCTGGCAAGGCCCACATGTGGGCAGAGCAGGGACAGGAAGAGGTGGAGTGAGGGTAGGGCCTCAGAGGGAAAGAGGACGAGCAGGAGCGGGGCCTCGGGGCAGAGCGCAGGTGGGGCCACGGCTGGGGCACCCTTTTGGCAGCAGCGCACCCCAAAGGCAACAGGCCGGCTGTCTGTTATAGCCACCCATGCACCCTACTGCAGGTGCCGTCATCATTTTGCTTTGCTTTTCCTCACAGGCCAATGACTGGAGGTTGATCTTGAAGGGAGCAAGTATTTTTATGTACTTAACTGTAGACGGTGGGATATATGTGTGCTCGGACTTCTGGGCTCTAAAATTAATGATTCAGGAGACTGCCCATCCCTGCTGAGGGACCTGGGGTTTAAGTCTCACCTGTAGGAAATTAGCCGATGGCTGCTGGTACTTCTCTATCTCATCAAGCAGGTCACAGAGAAATGAAATGTCCTCTGAGAATTTAGCCCCATTCGCATTTTGCCTCTTCACAATCTCCTTGTCCAGCTCTTCCAGCTGGGCCAGCAGGAGCCGCTCCTGTTCCTCCAGAAACTGCCGCAGCTGCTCAAATTCAGCCACAATCTTCTGCCGCTCGACGTTTGTCTTTTCCTTTGATGAGCAGACACAAACAAGCCGACTTTCATATCGGTGAACACCAGGGCTCTGATTCAGCGTGAGCCCTTTCAAATGGACTGTGGTTTCCCAGCAAACCTGCTGGTGCTAGATGGTTCTGCACTCACTATAATCTGGACCACAGAGGGACTGGAAAACCCACAGTTGCTGCACTCAGAGACCTGGTCTACCCTCCAAAGTTGAAGCACATTTAATCAAGCCCATTGATTTGCACCATTTGTTGCATCAAGGACATGCAAATAGTAGCACCTGATACTATCAATGCTGTTTGCAATACAAATCAGGCTCTTGAGACTCAGAGGAGGACATGAAAGAGCAACAATTGGATGGCTTGCTTTGTCCAAATGCAAACCAAAGAAGGAATGCGTCTTCTTTCTTTTAATGGTGAGGGAACTAGTCATTTGTTTAGATTTTGCCACACACTCTAAGGTGTCCTTGATACAACTTCAAAATACACCACATAAATTCCCTAAGTGCAGCAGTACAATAGAACGTCATCAAGAGAGCTGGGCAAAAAACTTTGGACACACAATCTACGTGACAAAAAATGCAGTTTTGGTCAACCTGAAACTAATTGAGAATTTGTTCACAAAATGGCCAAAAAAAGGAGGTGGTAGTAACACAGAGAAGGACCAGACTGGGTCAGACCAAAGGTCCATCTAGCCCAGTATCCTGTCTTCCAACAGTGGCCAATGCCAGGTGCCCCAGAGGGAATGAACAGAACGGGTGATCAAGTGATCCATCCCGTCGCCCATTCCCAGCTTCTGGCAAACAGAGACACCATACTTCCCCATCCTAGCTAATAGCCATCGATGGACCTATCCTCCATGAACTTATCAAGTTCTTTTTTACCACTGCTTGTGACCTATAGTCCAGTGGCTCGGGCCCTCAGCTGGGATATTAGAGACCCATATTCAAATTTCCACTAGGGAACAAACCTGAAGTAGATATCTTTGATTCCCCCAAAATTCAGATTTGGTTCAAGCTGAATCAATTTTTTTTTCAGAACTACTGCTGATCCAGAAACATATTCACCCAGCTCCAGTCACCAAACCACCAGGCAATTGAAAAGTTCAAAGCCTTCTCCCCCTCCTCATTTCTGAAATCCTGGAATCATGTTTGCTAACTGAATGAGGAGACTGTGTGTGTAGATACGCTGCAATTTACAGAGAGGGAACAGACAATGCTAGTCATAATACATTTCTCCAGTGTAGCGAAAGTCATAGACCCTCACTCACAAAGGGAAATACATAAGGAATAACAATGAAGACCTACCAGAGCCTCTTTGCTTTTCCTCTCTTCAGTCAGTTTAGATGCCAGAAGCAACATGCTTTCCTTCGTCAGAGCCTTCATATGAGTCTGAATTGCTCGCTGTGTCAAGAAAAGGTGTTTGGGTAATATGTTTTCCTTAAGAACATAAGAACGGTCATACGGGGTCAGACCAAAGGTCCATCTAGCTCAGTATCCTGTCTTCCGACAGTGGCCAATGCCAGGTGCTTCAGAACAGGCAATCATCAAGTGATCCATCCCAGCTTCTGGCAAACAGAGGCTAGGGACCCCATCTCTCCTGCCCATCCTAGCTAATAGCCATTGATGGACCTATCATCCATGAACTTATCTAGTCCTTTTTTGAACCCGGTTATAATCTTGGCCTTCACAACATCATCTGACAAGGAGTTCCACAGGTTGACTGTGCGTTGTGTGAAGAAATACTTCCTTTTTTGTTTTAAACCTGCTGCCTATTCATTTCATTTGGTGACCCCTAGTTCTTGTGTTATGAGAAGGAGTAAATAACACTTCCTTATTTACTTTACCAATACCAGTCATGATTTTATAGACCTCTATCATATCCCCCTTTGGTCATCTCTTTTCCTGGGTGGGCAAAGACAGAGAAAGAGGAGAGAGTTTCTTTTCCTGCAAACAATGTCTTTGCATGGATGCAGTTTAGATTTTGTTTAAGCCCTTTCCAACTTCCTCAGTGGGAGAAAATGATGCTATTTTCCATGAAAGTTCCGTGTCTATAGCTTCTGGGTGGGACCTGGTCCTTCCACAGAAAAAAGTTTCAGTTTAAATAAAACCATTAGGTTGAAATGAATGGAACTAGCTGCAGGGGAAAGTATTATTCAATGAATATAATCCTGGCAAAACCAGGTCTTAAATGCCTGGCATAGGGTGCAAAAGGAATTGAGTCCCAGGACACATTAAATTATGGAACCATTCTGTAGCTTTTCCCATGGAGGGATGTGTTGGTAAATTTCATTCTAGTAATCTGAGGCCTGGTCTACACTAGAAAATTAGGTTGGTTTAACTACATTGGTCAGGGGTGTGAAAAATCCACACCCTTGAGCGGTGTAGTTAAGCCGACCTAAGTCCTTGTGTAGACAGTGCTAGGTTGAGAGGAGAATTCTTCAGTCAACCTAGTTACCACCTCTCGGGAAGGTGGATTATCTATGCTGACAGGAGACCCCCTCCAGTCGGCGTAGGTAGTGTCTATGCCAAAGTGCTACCGTGGCGCAGCTTTAGTGTTTAAAGTGTAGACAAGCCCAGAGTTTCTGGTTTTCTCAGAGCATCTCCAGAAGTTCAGCAATAAATTGCAAATTTCCAGATTTCCAAGTGTCTTAGATGTTTAGCCTTGCCATGGAAAGTTATGACTTTCTAATAAAAGGGTGTATTTTGTTTCCTAAGTGGAAGGATTTCTACCCCTCAGTTAGACAGGGCTGAAAACTGGTCAAGCATTTAATGGGAACATGGGCCTTTTTTGTTCCATATCCGTTTGTTGACTCTCTGGATGCTATTAAAAAGCATGAAGATCATGCTCCTTCTGCAAGGAACTGTCTAGGAGAAGCGAATCATACCAACCTCAAAACCCACGTTCCACTGGAGTAGCAACAGCAGCAGCAGCAGTGGCAGCTGTAGCAAGAGGACAGACAGCAATAATTTAACCTGGAATAATAATAAAATAAATAAGCATTAAAACCTGCCTGACGGGTGTTTGGACCCGAGTGCACATGACACGGGACTGAGGAATTCACAACCATGCTGCTGATCACCACACCTGCTGCACAGACGCAAATTCTCTCTTCTGCTCCCAGGGCTGTCGTGGGACTGGACCTGCCTGGAGCTCACTGGCACTAGCATTCCCAAAGGTGTGTGGAGACGGTGGTGGTGAAGCACAGCTAGCTGGCCTGTGGGAGGGCGTGTACAATTCACCCCTCAAAGGGGTGGCACAGGATTCACTCTCCTCAGGAGCTCCCCGAAGCTGGCACACCCCCTGGTTGGAATGAAGACATTCTGCCCCCCACACAGAGCTGTGTATCAGGAACACAACACAGCCAGTAGCCAGCGTACATCACTTACATTTGCTGCGTGACGAGAAGCCCATAACCCAGTGGCCCCAAAACTTTTCTAAGGCTGGGGCCGCAGCTGGGGATGGGTCTGGGGCCAGGAAAGGGGGCCGAGGCTGGGGATTAGGCCAGGGTTCCACCCCCCCTGCACTGTGCCACCCTTTCCCCCGGAAGCCCTACCCCTGCCCCGCCCTTCCCCAAGGCCCTGCCCCTGCCCCGCCCCATCCTTGAGGCCCTACCCCACACCTCCCCTCCCCCCAAGCCCAGTTCCCATACTGCCCCTTTCCCCTGAGGCCCTGCCTCCGCACTGCTCCTCCCCGAGGCCTCACAGCCCTGCCCCCCACATCACCACTTCCCATGAGGCCCTGCCCCCGCACCGTCCCTTCCCCCAAAGCCCCGCTCCACTGCTTCCCCCCAAGATCCCCCGCCCGCTCGCTCCTCTCCGTCCCGTCCCCCAGTCCCTCGTCCTTACGGCCAGTAAAAAGTGCCCCCCCCCCGGTTCTTGCGCCCCGATGAGAGTTGGCAGGTAGGGTGAGGATAAGTGTGAAGGGTCTTAAAAGCAAAGACGAGGAGATTGTGTCGATGTGATGGAGAAGGGAAGCCAGTGAAGACACAAAAACAGAGGGGTGACATGGTCCAAGTGACGAGCCAGGAAAATGACCCGAGGAGCAGCATTCTGGATAGAGATGACGTGGGGTAAGAGTGCATTTGCCAAAGCCAGAAAGGAGGATCTTGCTGTAACTGAGACGTGACATGACGAGGCCCTGGCCCTGGATGACAGAGGAAAGGCCAGATCCTAGAGAGGTAAAGGAACAGCAGCAAGATTTAAACACAGCCTTGGCCCTAGAAAGGAGGTGGAGTCAAAGGATTACACAGGTCACAGGTGTGTTTGACAGTGGAAATGGAGGTGACGGTTCAGATGACTGAGAAAGGAGGGAGAGGGAAGAGCTTAGGAGGAAAGATTCAGAACTCTGTCTTGGCCACATTGGCTGATCATCCACAAGGAGATGTCAGAGGGAGGCAGAGATGAACAGAAGGTCCAGAGCAGATGGGTAGCTCTGTGAGCGGGGTGCCGGAACAACGGGGGCTAGGGGGCATCGCCCCCCCCCCACTTTTTACCGACTGTATGGGTGAGTTTCGGGGGGAGGGGAAGGAGAGGAGCGAGCGAGGGGCGGGGTCTTGGGTGGGAAGAGGCAGCATGGGAGTGGGGCCTTGGGGGAAGGGCAGCACGAGGGGAGGGGTAATGCTTCGGACACCTGTGGCCCCCCCCCCGCATTTTTAGGGACCTTTTCCTGCTCCTGTCTGTGAGTCATCTGTATAGAGAGGAGAGAGGGATTTGTGTTTGTGAATGTGATTGCTCAGAGACAAGGTGTAAGAAGGAGAAGAGAAGGAGGCCAGAAGGCCGGCGCATAAAGTTGGACTGGGGATGAAGACAATGCTCCAAAGGATATGCTGAAGGAGCAAAGATGCCGACTTTCTATTGTGCCAGGGGGTGCTTGACCCTGCTCTGCCTCAGACCCCACCCCCCACTCCACCTCTTTCCCCAAGGTCCCACCCCCGCCCTTCCTTGTCCTGCCCCACCCCCACCTTGTCCTGCCCCCACTCTGCCCCCGCTCCACCCCTGCCCCATCACTTTCTGTCTTTTTTCCACCCCCTCCCCCGAGCACGCACCGCCCTCACTCCTCCCCGTCAGCGCCTACTGCCCACCGTGGAACAGCGGATCCGTGGCAAGCAGGAGGTGCTGGGAGGGAGGGGGAGGCGCTGATCAGTGGGGCCCGCCGGCAGGTGGGAGACACTGGGGGGAGGGGGAGCTGATCAGGGGGGCTGCCGGTGGGTGCTGAGCCTCCCCCATTTTTTTTTCTCTGTGGCCCCAGAGCACCCACGGAGTCGGCACCTATGTGAAGGTGCGATTACAGAGAGAGAAGGAGAAGCAGGAGAGGACAGTCACAAAAGCGAAGGGAGGGCAAGATTTCCAGAGGAGCTTAGTCCACAACGTTGAAAGTGGACGACAGGTGGAGGAAGAGGCCAGAGTCCTGGCTCTGAGCACTGGCTAGGAAGAGGTCTTAGATGAGAGCCGGGAGATGGGGTCACCGGGCGGAGCAGATGAGATCAGATGAAAATGACGAGCATGGAAGAACATGAGAAATGAAATCAACCCCTTTTTAAAAGGACAGTTTTAACTTTATGATACTAACCACGATTTCCTACCTTGTAATTCCTAGCAGCAGCCTCCGGTGTGGGACCCACAGGCTGAGACTTGTGAGCTTCACGGTCCCTGTAGATCAAACCTATTAGTTTTCGATCCTCTTCACAGAAGAATTTCAAATCCTCCTCATACAGGTCACACACTCTCCCCTCCTCTCCGGCTGCCACCCGCAAGCTCAGCTGCTTGGCTATTTCTGCAATACGCCCCAGCTCCCTGTTGGGCTTGCAGTTTCTCTGCTGGGCGGTTTCTCTGCACTGGGGGCAGGAGAAGTTTGTCTCCGACTCCCCCCAGCACTGGTCGATGCAGGCTTGGCAGAAGTTGTGCCCACAGTGGATAGACACCGGGGCTTTGAAATACTCCAAACAGATGGAACAAGTGACTTCATCTTCAAGCTTTCCTACAGGGCTCTCTGTGGCCATGGCTAGCTGCAGGGAGCCTGACTGGGTTATTTTCAGTTTCCCCTCTGGTCTGAAACGCACATAGCAGGAAGCAGCAACCCAGCCTTTCGCTTCCTGAAGTCACCTCTTCTGGGTGACAGACCTCACCTGTTGTTATAGTCATGAGCGACGGGTGCAGTGAATTTGCCCACACTTAGGGCTGAACTGCTTTGAGCACTGGCTTAGCTGCACCTTAACCGCCCCCCTTTGACAGCAAGGGGTATTTCCGATTGCATAGGCAAGACTTTCAGAGTTACAGACCTTGGGGGAGTTTGGTGAGGAATGCACAGGGATGCATGGGGGTGGGTGAACCCCCACTTTGGGGAGGCTAGCTTGCCCCCTTCCACCTGAGGCCCCCTGCCCTCTGGAGCCCTGAGTACCCCCCCATGGCCAGAGGAGCCCTGGCCTTCCTGCCCCAGCTGGCCCCCCTGAGCGCAGGGCCTGCCCCAGCACCAGGCTGAGCCGCTAGCCCCCGCCAGCGCTGGGCCGAGTTGCTGGCCTGACCCCTCCTCCCCCGCTGGGCCCAGCGCCACCCCTGTCCGCCGACAGGCCTGAGCTCAGGGCCACCGGCTAGAGCTGAGCCCCCGCCAGGTAGAGAACCAGGGCGGGGCTTCAGAGCACAACAGGGGCAGGGCCACAGCCTCTGTCAGGGGAGGCTTAGCCTGCCCTGGTGTATGATACCCACCACCCATGAGAGGGAGGATGATCCACTAGCCTAGGATCTAGATTCAGCTCCATGCTCTGCCGCAACCTTCTTGTCTCCGACCTTTCAACAAGAGTAATTAACCACAGAAACAGCTTCCCGGGGTCAGGGTGGATTCTCCGTCACTGACCATTTTAAAAATCAAGATCGGCACTAGGAATTATTTCGGGGGAGTCCTCTGGCCTGTGTGATACAGCAGGGCAGACGAGATGATTCCAACGGTCCCTTCCGGCCTTGGAATCTAGGACGTCACTTAGGCCCAGCTCCACAAAGACATGGAGGATTATAAACCCCAGATTTCAGTGCTACTATGATCCACAGAACCCCTCCCTTCCCCCCACCCCACTCAGCTGGCATCTCAGCTCAACTTGGTCCTTGAGTTTTCAGTGTGAAAGTCCCCTAGGCACCTACGTTTCTGCTCATGGGCGTGTGCTGCTTCCCTCTAGTCATCTGGATGCCCATCTACTGCCAAAGCCCCAGTGCAATCCTCAAACCAGGTGGAGACGGACACTCAGCGCCGGGGACGTGGGAGATCCTTGTTCAATTCCCCCTTCCCCCCACTCCACCCGATGAGGAGAAGGGATTTTTGCAGGGGTTTCCCCACCTCCTCAAGGGAGCGCCTTAGCTAGTGTCTCTCTGTCTCTGGTCCAATGAATATTTCAGTTTGGAATCTGCATGACAGCAGCTTCCACAAGGGAGATGGAGAGATCCATAGAACTCTCTGCTCACTTTGATCACCCTGGGTTCCATCTCTCAGCCTTTCCCAGCAGAGCCCACTAGTGAGTATCTGAGTTACATTTAAGCCCCAATCCTGAAGGCTCCCTCCACACTGCCTCCTGGTTGACTTTGGAACAACCCTCCTGGGAATATGGCAGATTCTCCATGCTTTGAGGCCTTTAAATCAGGATGGACTGGCTTTCTAAAATGTATGCTCAGAAGAACAGCCACACTGGATCAGACCAATGGTCCATCTAGCCCAGTATCCTGTCTTCTGACAATGGCCAATGCCAGATGCTTCAGAGGGAATGAACAGAACAGAAGCGTTATTGAGAGATTCATCCCCCATCATCCAGTCCCAACATCTGGCAGTCAGAGGCTTAGGGAAACCCAGAGCATGGGGTTGCATCCGTGACCATCTTGGCTAATAGCGATTGATGGACCTATTCATTAGCTCAGCCACAAGGTATGGGCTTGATGCAGAAATCACTAGGTAAATTGTACTGGTCTATGTTATGCGGGTCAGACTAGATTATCATAATCATCCCTTCTGGGCCTAAAATCTATTAATAATGGCAAAAAATTACTATTCTTCCTTTTAAAAAAAGGACAAAAAAACTTCAAGTGTAGCCTGTGGATTAGATATCAGTGAAATATGGGAAGTTTAAGGAGTCTGCAGTCTTCTCTAAGCTCATTATGATCCAAAAAATGGTCTGACACAGGGTGATAAAGTTCTGAAAGACTCCATTTTTAACGTATAAGCCAACTAACCGATCTGTTTGTAAATTCTCAGAACGTGCATTCTCTATTCAAAGAATAAATGTTTCAGTCTTGGGGAGGATATGCTAAGCTCTCTAGTTTATTATGTGCCTCTATCTTGGTAGCATATGAGCATCTGACCCATCCAGGCTTGCACATTTATATGCAGCATATCACTGAAAAGGAGCAAGGGGTTGGTGTAGTTCCCATTCATTCTAACTCATCTCAGTGGTTACAAACACGCCGGCAAAAAAAGCATTCACAATTTATAAAAGGGATTTGAGAGCTCCTGTACATCACACACACACACATACACACACAGAAGCATTCCTGGGGTCGGGGTGAATCATAAAAATGTCAAATCCATTTCCTTAATAAATAAATGAAATCCTGAAATAAAATGACCCGAAGAGCTCTATGCAAGTTCCAACGCTTGTCTCTTTCACCAACAGAAGTTGGTCCAATGAAAGATATCCCCTCCCCTGCCTTGTCTCTCTATATAGAATCCTGTGAAATACTCTTCAGCTAGGGAGATTAATAATTTTCTCCACCATCTTCAGGTTGCCACTCCAGTCCCACCATCTCCCTCTCCCCTCTCCATGGGGTCCCCAACCATAATCCCATTGCTCGGAGAAATGTGGCCTGTACCACTGATATCAATGGGGTACTCTGAAACCTAATGATGGCATTGTTAATTCTTTCACCCAACAGAAAAACAGCAAACAAATCAATAACTCCCCTCCCGCCCAAATGAGCCTTTTTGAGCTATTGAGACACTTTAACACAATCAATTTTGTGAATCCTGAAAAGGTCAAACCCATTTCCTTAAAAAAACTAAAACTTCAAACTTGGAAATGATTCGTTTTCTCCCTTCTCTTCAGGTTCCCCCCTCTTTGGTCTTCTCTCCTCCCTTCCCTACCTCCCCCCACCTCCAATTGCTCTGAGAAATATAGATTCCCCCATTGAGTTCAGTGGGTTTTTAACTCAAACATAAAGATGGGTGTGGTTAGATGTTCGGCTGCATGTGCGTGTACTCCCTGTGTGCTGCCCCAGCTCTGCGCAGACAGCCGGCACAGCAGACCTCAAGCGAACCGCCCAATGACCACAAGATCCATTAAGGGATGAACCAGGCCAGGTTTATTGTCGACAAAGCACGGTAATGGCACCTGGCAGACTTTACGAAGATACGAAGACATGTATGCCCGTGACAATGGACAATGGACGCAGTTCAGTGAATGGCGGGATTTTCCGTTACCCCCTCGGCTGGACTCTCTCAGAGATACACCTTTATACCCTGATACAAACAAATTATGTACTGCCTCTCTGACATAGTTAGTTACTGCCCCCGACGTAGCTAGTTATTACCCATTTCCTTGTACATATTGGTTTGATTAAAACATCTTTATTTATTACACTGTCATCCTGACCTTATCTTTTAGGAGGGGTCAGTGTGTTCTTGTTATCCTTGGGGAATGTTTTGGTACCATCTTTGATATAGGGATGTTCTGGTACCACTCTTCTGGAATGTGTTTGGGTGAGTACTCTGTGCCTAGCACTTCTTAGGAATCTGTGTTTCTGCAATGTTAGCTCTGTCCTTGTCAGATTCTGTGAGCTTGCAAGCAGGCGGAGCCTGACGTTTGCTCACAGCCTGACTTTTGCTAACTTTGCTTTATATCAGCAAAGCTTGCCCACTACTTTAGCTCAGGCCTCATACCAGGCCTCCGATACAAGGGCTTATATCTTAGGTTCTCTTCCTACTACATTGGGCATTGTCAATTCTTTCACTGCTGATTGTTTTCACCAAAACCTCCAGCCACACGCCGATCCCTCAGTACCAAACAGCCTCTCATCCCACCCCAGGTGCCAATGGCCCAGATCCTCAAACGTATTTAGGTGTGTAACTCCCATTGAAATAGACTCCTATACCTTTAAGGTCCTGTGCCAAAATCCCCAAATGTCCCCCATCCAGAAACTAAAACCTCCAGCTCCCCCCTTAAAAGAATCTCTCCTGTAGCTATGCATTCTCAGTACAAAGATGTTGGGATATTGGAAACTGATCACCTGGGAATAGTGTAAAATAAACACAATCAAATATCTTGCTACACTAACTGCACCATTTAAATCTATTTAAAAATGCCCTTTAAAATTGTCTCTGATGTTGCTGCAAAATTTCCCCTAGAGGCTGCAGAAACACAGGTGACTACGGGCAGCATTTCTTATTCCCTGATCTTGCAAAATCCCTGGGCCTCCAGAATCATAAAGAATTGACAGACAAATGCCATTTGCTTCGCCTTCACGTCTATCTCTCTGCCATTTTGTCTGGCCAGAAATACGCTTTAGCCTCAGTGTCATGACGTCAGAAGTTAGAGAAACCTATTTTATGGTTGTCACATGAATAGGCTCGACTTTTATTTTTCCCCGGGGGTGTTTCTGCCCTGAGGCCCCGCCCCCACTCTGCCCCTTCCCCCAAGGCCCATCCTCGCTCTGCCTCTTCTCACCCCTGCTCCGCCCACTCCCCAAAGCCCCCGCCTGCCCACCACTCACTGTTTTCTGCCCTCCCCCAAACCCCTCTCCAAGCCACCAAACAGCTGTTTGTTGGGACCGCCATCAGCTGCTTAGCAGAGCCCCCCAATTAGCTAATCAGGGGCATTGCCAAACAGCTGATCGGCCATGCCGCTGAACAGCTGTGGCTGATGGGTGCTGAGCCCCCACTATTTTTTTTTCCAGGGGCGCTCCATCCCCGGAGCACCTGTGGAGTCAGCACCTATGATCATATGGGACCATTCCCCTTCACCCCTATCTCAGGGACACAGCCGGAGTGGGGATCCCGCCAAAAAGAAAGGGAAGAGTCTCTCCCCAGTGAAAGAGGCCGGTGGGAAAATGAAGATCAGGAACTTGTTGTCAACATCAAAAAATGCCACCCGCCCCCCTTCATAGTCCAGAGCCACCCGGATTCTCCTGGGGATCGTAGGCAGGGGTAGGATGGTCTCACAGGCGGTGTAAGCCCGGTACTGACCACCCCAGTGACCCACAGCCCAGATCTCCTGCTCAGGGTAATTGCTCATCCGTCCCTTCCTCCTTACAGACTCCCTGGCCACCCCCACCGACCAGATTCCCCCAACGCCCACCTCCACCTCCCAGTAGTGTCTGCCCGAGGCGAACCCGTCACGGCCCAGCACGGAGAGAACGGAATCGAATCGCTCGGGATTGTCGGGCAGATCCTGCTGCTCGTGTCCCCGTCTCACGCCTTTCCCATCCGCAGATAGGACAAGCTGGGGATGAGCCGTGTCTGGATCCAGAGTCACATTCGCTGGGGAGAGAGAATCAGAGCGTTAGGGGCAGAGCTTGGCCCTGTCGAAGGAGGGGACCTTTTCTCGCACTCCCCAGCAGCCCCGTCCCACCTGGGTCGCTCCCTGATTTTCTGCCTCTCTGTCCTCTCCCAGGCTCTAGGGGTGCTGCTATATCTGCTGCTGTGACTGCTTCTCTCTGCCTCTTCCCCTGCTGCGTCTCCCTGTGGGGGCTGCCCCACTGCCAGCAGCAGGGACAGAGCCTGGGAAGTCCTGTTAGGGAGAGACGCCCCGTCCCCAGCTAGCAAGGAGGAAGCAGCCCAGATCACAGCTCAAACTTCTGTGCAGTGCGGGGGGAGGGGGAACCCCTGGGGAAGAGCACCCAGCCCACTGCGGAATGGAAGAGAACTAGGGGATGCCAACCGATGGAGAGCTGCCTCCCAGCCCACGTGGCAGACAGGAGGAGGAGGAGGCAGCCAGTGGTGTAGCCCATAGGGCAAGCTTGCCGATATTCACTGTCTGGCTGTGACCAAGTGGGAATGTTCTTAATGTTTTCTCTGAATATTGTGTGAATGCCTCAGTTTCCCCTATGCCTTTCTTAAGTATCTAGGTGGTGGGATAAGGATAAGGGTGTGTGATTGTTGCAGAGCCCTGGAGGGCCAGTGTGATGCTGTCTGCACAGAGAATGGCCGATATCCCATCTCCTGGCAACTGATGGCCTGGGCCCCTCCCCTGCAAGGTGCCAACTGAAGGTGTTGGAGAACAAAGAGATCAGGTGGCCTCCTGGCTCGGGAAAGAGACAAAGGCCAGAGGAGGGGCTGGAGGGGGTTTCAGTTTGGAGCTGGCTGGGGAAACAGAGGGAGGCCCAGCACCGGGGTCTGGGATTCCTAGCCCCCCAAGATGGACCCGAGTGAGGGGTCCTGTTTTCTGTACCCACAAGCTCTGTTTTGGACTGTATTCCTGTTGTCTAATAAACCTTCTCTTTTACTGGATGGCTGAGAGTCACGGTGAATCGCAGGAAGTGGGGGGTGCGGGGCCCTGACTCCCCCACACTCCGTGACACTTGCCTTCACTATATTTAGCTGCTTTCATTATATTCAGCTGTAATGTGAGAAACCTACAGGCCTGTGTACTGTTAATCAGGAGTTCTCAAATTTCATTGCACCGCTACCCTGTTCTGACAACAAAAAATATTATATGACATCAGGAGGGGGGACCGAAGCCTGAGGCCACGCAAGCACTCCTGCCCCAGGCAGAGGGGCCAAAGCCCAAGGGCTTCAGCCCAGGCAGGGGGCCTGTAACCCTGAGCCCCACAACCCAGGGCTGAAGCCCTCGGGCTTTGGCTTCAGCCCCAGGTGGTGGGGCTTGGGCTTTGGCTTTGGCCCTGGGTCCCAGCAAGTCGAAGCCAGCCCTGGTGACCCCATTAAAATCCACTTTGGGATTCCAGCCCCCAGTTTGAGAACCGCTGCAGGATTAGCTGAAGCATAAATTAGCGTAAGCGTGGTTAAGCAGGTGGTAACCCTTGGCATAGATTAATGGCCTAGCGGTTACCTTTAGATATTGGGAACTAAGGAGAGCTTGCTCAATGGTACGAGTTACAATGTTCCAGTCAGTGCTACCGCAAGGAACATCAGAAGAAATAATCGCGAATCCGCTGGAGCAAGGGGTGATGGTATGATCATGGGCTGAAATGGCTGTTACATGTTAACCCAGCATTTCTCAAACTGGGGGTCTGCGAGGGTACTCCAGGGGCCCAGCTGATCAACTCCTCCCCCTCCCTCCCAGTGCCTCCTGCACACCAGGGAACAGCACATGCAGGAGGTGCTGGGAGGGAGCGGGAGGAGCAGGGATGGAGCACGCTCGGGGGGAGGAGGTGGGAAAGAGGAGGGGCAGGGGTGGGGCGGGGGCAGAAAGAGATGCGGAGGGGGAGAGGCCTTGGCGGAAGGAGTGGAGTGGTGCGGGCCTAGGGGGGAGGGGAGGTTTGGGGGGTCCTCAAAATTTTTTAAATCAAAATGGGGGTCCTTGGGTTGCTAAAGTTTGAGAACCGCTGTGTTAGCCTATAGATGCCAGAGATGGGGCTGGTCCTGTTGTCTCTTACCACCAGGTCCTCAACCCAGGCTATGAGTATGAAATTCTAGGAGCTTATGCATCGAGTGATACCACAGATAACCCCAGTCCTGTATGATCTCTACCTTGTTATTTGGCTCGAGTCTTTTCTAGCTTTCTCCTTTATTTTCATAAAGGTATCTAAGGTTTTACTTTGCCGCCCGGGTATGAGTCCTTGTCATCCAACTTGAGACTCCCCACAAGATATCAATCTCTGTAGTGTTAGGTCTGATTCTGGGGGAAGACTCCGATCAATTGGCCACCAATCCAAACATGATTAACCTTCCAAAGGGTCAGGCAACAGTGGAGAGGTCCTAAAGAGCCAGGGTGAAGGGAGGACCATAAATGGAGACCCCGCAGCCCAGTGGGAAGAGAAAATGGGAGATTCAGGTGATTGAGGGAGGGAAGCAAGTGCCCCGGGGGGAACACTGGGGGAGGTTCAAGCCAACAGCACTGAGTCCCATTCAGTCAGGGGATTGCACTGCCGGCCCTGTCTCACTCCCATGCCGCACTTGTCATGTGGGAACAGCAGTTAAGGGGTTAATATTGTAGGATGTTTAAGTCCCCCTCCCCTTTCCTGTTGCCCCCTCTCTCTCTCTCTCTGTTGGCAGGAGGCTGTTTTGTTTGATCTCAGAGGCTCTTCTGCCATTGAAGCCAGAGCTACAAATGCAAACTAGGAAATATCCCTGTAAAAACTCACCCTTTCTTCCTATGGTGTCCACACCCCACGCTAGAGATCTCCCTGCACCGGTCTCTAGTCCCAGAGCCAGAGTGTCTAGAGAGGAGAGATGTCATGCAGTCAACTTTATGCCCAGCTTTCCAATCTGAATTAAACAAGCCCGCTTAATGAGGGAAGGGAAACAGAGAGAGGGAAAGGAGCAGAGATATGGAGAGAAAAAACTTGTTTAGTCAAACCAGATGTACCTTAAACCAAATCAAGAATATCCCAGAAGCATTTTTATGTGACTATATCACTTGTTTCCTTGAAGGATCTCAGAACACCAATACATTCCTAGACTGAACATCAGAGAACCCAGCACAGACTGCAGTTCTCATTGTCTGTTGGCCTGACCCATTGAGCTTTGATCAGCCCACTTGTTGCTCCCTAATGGTGAGGGGCTGGGCTAACCTAAGCCGGGAGACTTGGTGTAAATCCTCATTTGCTAGGCTAAGTAACGGGAGAGCTTGGCAGAGAGCCAAGAGAGGGCACGCGAGAAGCTTTCCTTCTCTGTGCAGATTTCAAGATGGCCAGCACTAGAACAGCGGCGGTGACCTACCACGGATGCGCCATGTTTTCTTTCCTGCCGGAAGCCAGAAGGGACTTCCTATGCACAAAGTGCAAGGGGGTGGCTGTGCTGGAGGAATAGAACGTCGTGATTTTGGAGATGGGGAAACTGAGGCACAGAGAACCGAATTGATTTTTCCAGGGTCGCTCACCAAATCGGTGGAGGAGCTAGAACAAAACCCAGGTCTCCTGACTTCCAGCCCCCAGCTCTATCTCCTTGATCTGTTCCCTCTTTTTCTCTGTTATTAAACCATTGTTTACTGGAGCTCTTTCTCCCCCTGTGAAATCAGGTCTTTTGTGTGCTTTTGCCCTATACTATACAGATTTCACGGGGGAGATCAGCGTTTCTCAAATTGTGGGTCTTGACCCAAAAGGGAGTTGCAGGGTGGTCGCAAGGTTTATTTTAGGGGGGTTGCGGTATTGCCACCCTTACTTCTGCATTGCTGCCTTCAGAGCTGGGCGGCTGGAGAGTGGCGGCTGCTGACTGAGGACCCAGCTCTGAAGGCAGCAATGCAGAAGTAAGGGTGGCAATACCGCAACCCCCCTAAAATAAACCTTGCGACCACCCTGCAACTCCCTTTTGGGTCAAGACCCACAATTTGAGAAACCATTAAATCTATATAGTATAGGGCAAAAGCACACAAAAGACCTGATTTCACAGGGGGAGAAAGAGCTCCAGTAAACAATGGTTTAATAACAGAGAAAAAGAGGGAACAGATCAAGGAGA